GAGTCTGGAAACACTACAGACTTAGAGACCACGCACGTGGATTCACAACACCCTACCTTTATTCTAGAGGAGCAGAATGATGAAAACATTCTTGCTTGGCTGACGCAAAACCATAAGCTGAAGCACCAGAACGTAGTAGACGCACTTAAAGATGCTAAGCGAAATGGGATCGCGCACCCTAAGCTGGCAACTTTAGTTGACAGAGTATATTAGTCATGTATAGACTGGGATCTCAATCAGATCAAGCGATATGGGTTCGCACCACTTAAGAATGTGACTGAATATGTTCCATGGCGCAGGATCATCATTGATCTGGTTGACCTGCCCACGTCTGAGCACACAGGTGACAGTTACGTATGCCACTTCTTTGATGTGGCGTCACGGTTTAACTTGCTCTATCCATTAGAGGATAAGAATACGCAGACCGTGGCAGAATTATGTTGCCAAGTCTTTGCTGACCACGGGTGGCCAGGTATTATGTGTACTGATAACGGTAGTGAGTTCTGCGATGACGTAATGGAATCGCTAGTACTCGTATCAGGCATTTGCCATAAAAGAGGTGTGCCATATAAACCGCAAACGCAAGGCGCGAATGAAACGCGCCATAGAAGACTTAAGTTCTTCTTGCGTACTGCATTAACGGATGATGCAGATGATTGGCCGTACCACCTTAAGTGGGTACAAACACAAATGAACGAGTGTGCTGATCCGGTTACAGGAACTACACCCGCTTACTATTTTCGTGGCAGATATAGTGAGTTACAAATACCCTTTAACAAGGACGAACCTGATCACCATGAGTTACTTTGGTTAGAAAAGGTTCAACGTATTTATAACGTTGTATATTCTTGCTTGCGAGAAATACGCAATATAGCCTTATTAAAAAGGCAAAAGCGTTGGAACACCCAAGAAGATAGCAGAGTATCAAGTCGGTGACAGAGCTAATATCCGTCAACGTAATTCCGATGCTACTGTATTAACATCTAAATGGATAGGTCCATATATAATCTCTGTAGCAGACACTAAAAGTGGAGCATACGAGGTAAATAACCCCGATGGTTCTAGTGTGCTTAATATAGGCACAAGTCGTATTCCGACTACAGAGATTATACACGCAAGAAGACATGACTCTAATATCCCTCTTAATCGTTCTGAATTTAAAGACATTATATGGAGAACGGATAAGGGAGGCTATACATACTATCGTACACGCTCTATAGACGGTACAATCGCTGAGTTGACTTCAAATGCTTTCGATAATCAAGACTATTTAAAAGCATTTAATCGATAATGGCGTAAACGCCTGCATAAGTCACAAGCTGAAAAAGATAGCATGTTTCCATCGTCTGAAGGCACGGAAGTTAAAACTTATCCGCCTACAGCATTTATCCCGAGCTTTAATGCTCACCCTTCATATGTGCTTAAA